TTCTGGCCATCCTTCTCCTTTCCATATCTTATTTAAAATTTCCCTCAATCTTTCTTTCACTTTATCACTAGCATATTTCCATGCTTCATTTCTGATTCCATCTATTCCTGCACTTTTCTTTTTCTTCAATTTCTTAATAGCTTCTTCCACTTCCTCCTCTCTAATCTCTTCTATTTTTGCTCTTCCTTTTTCCTCTGGTTCTTTCCTTTCTTTATTTTCTTTCCCTTTTAATAAGTTCATAAAATGCTGTTTCCACTCTTCTTTTGCTATTCCTTCGTTCATATTACTTCTCTTTCCCCTCTCTTTCTGTATGTATTTCCATAACTCGTTCTTGACCTTTAAATTCATGATCATAGTTATCTCTTCCCTCCTATATTTTTCTTCGTTCTCTTTACATACCTCTTTATGTTTTCTTTTCTCCTCTATATATTCTGCTCTTTTTACTTTTTCTTCTTTGTACTTTCTTAGCTTTTTGTTTACCTCTATTTTGCTCAATCTGCATTCCCTGTTCCTCCATCTCTTTCTGCCTGCTCTCCATTTTTTCACTGTGATTTTCTTTTTGCTTATCGCCTCTTTTACTTTTTCGATTTGTTCCTTCATATCCTCCTGCACTTCTTCTTTACAGAATTCTATATTTTCAAGTTTTTCTTTGTACTTTTTTACCCCTTCTTCCGACCAGTCTTCAATCTCTCTTTCTGTATCTTCTTCTTCTCCTTCCCTCTGCATTTTTTCTTGTATTACTATTTCCATTGGTTGGTGGTCCGATTCCGTCCTTTTCCCTATCTTAAAGCTTTCTATTTTCTGCCATGTTTCTGCGCTTGTTATCGCGTAATCTACTACCGAGCTTCCCATCTTCCCAATAAATGTCCATTCTCCTTCTTCATCTCCTTCCTTGTTTCCGTTCAGTATTCCCATTCCTTTTTCTTCAACCATCGTTATCAACTCTTCTCCTTGTATGTTTATCTTCCTGTCNTTCGATTTTCTCTCTTCTTCTTCTCCATTCCACACTATGCTGCCTTTATTACCTGTTCTTGCATTGAAGTCTCCCATCATCAGTATATTTCCTTCTATCTCTTCTTCTACTCTCTCCTTTATTTCTTTTAGCTTGTCTTTATCTCCTCCTCTGTTATATACGGATATCATTTTCCATATTTCTCCCTTTACTTTNAATTTGCTCTCCATTATTCCCTCTATGTCTATTCTTTCTTCTATTACGGTTATTCCCTTTCTCGTCCCTGTGATCATTCCTCCCTTATTTCTTCCCATGAATTTATCCTTNTTTGCGTTCTGTACTTTCCATCTGAATTGCCTTGACATCTCCTTTTCCTTTTTGCTCCATCCTTCTTGGTNCAGCCATGTTTCTTGTAATACTACTATATCAAATCCCTCTACGTACTTTCAAAAGTCTTTTTTCTTGTTCTCTAAACCTGCTACATTCCATGAGATTATTTTTACTTTTTGTTTGTCTTCTCTCTTTATACTCTCTTTTATTTTATTCTTTCCCTTCTTTTTCCTCTCTTTTGCTTCTTTCTCTTGCGTNATTATACAACCTCCATATTCTCTATACNGATTTTCGCTCCTGGTCGAAAATTTATCTCTTCCTTTAATTTTCCTTCTCTTTCGTTCCATCTGTACCACTTTCCATCTACTTCTATTNTTTTGAATTTTATCTTGACATCTTTTCCATTCTCTTTCAACTTCCTTGCATATTGTACAATTGCTCTCTGTACTTCTCTTTCCTCTCTCGTTCTTTCTTGTTCTATGAAGATCTTTTCGTTACCTAACTTTCTTTTATTTGCCATTATCTGTTCCTTTTCTTCCTGCGTGCTCAATTTTACCCACACAATGTTTCTTTCGTATCCTATTATGTTAGATTCCTGGACCTTTACCTCGACTTCCAGCTTTTCTGCAAAGAATTTTTCCATTTCTCTTTCCAATCCCTTTCTCTCCTTTTTTAGACCTTTAATTATCACGCACTTCTTTCTTTCTTCCGCTTCCAGTCTTTCACATCTCTTCTCTATCATTTTCATTTTCCTCTCTGTCTCCCCCTCTTTTTTCCTCCCTTCGCTTGCTGCCATTCCTTGTTCCGGTTCCAGTATCTTTCCTTTAAATTCATTTCTCCAATCTTCTAATTTCTTATTTATTTTCTCTTCCAGCTCTTTACTTTCTTTCTGCCACTTTTTTCTTTCCTCACTGATCGCCGCTTGGATTTGGCTTTTTATTTCTTTCTTCATTTCTACTTTCTCTGCTTCTCTCTCTTTCTCTCTTTTATTCATCTTACTCAGTATCTTTAGCATTAGATCCCTATTCGTTAGTTTATCGTCTCCCTCCTCTAACATTAGTTCCTCCTCTTCCGCTGTCTTCCCTGTACTCATGTTTGTTGTCTTTTTTAGTATCTTTTCCCTGTTTTCCGGTGAATCTCCTGACTTTTTTCTGTCTCTCTTTCTTGCAATCAGCTCCCTTATATCTCCTAAACTGTTGGATCTAATCCTATTCCAGTTCTGTGCTGCTGGTATCCTTCCTTTCCTTCCTATGCTCCTCTCTTTTTTTATTTCCTTCTTTACCGACTGTAGCTGTCTCAGCTCTGCTTGGTCCAGTTGCTTCACTTCTTTGCCGTCGCTTGTCTTTGGCGCCTTGTTCGTACTCTCCATGCGCGTCTACTCTCTCTATTTTTCTGTCATAACCTCCAGATATTTCCTTTTTCTTTCTTTCGCTTTCTTATCCTTCTATACTTTTCCTACCTTTTTTTCTTTCTTTAATCCTCGTTTTTCACTCTTTCTTTTAAGAGCTCTTATTCAATTCTTTGTTTCCTATTCACTTTTCACTTGTTCAAAACACTTCCACTGACTTTTCGTACTTGTTGCCACTTCAGCGATCCGGCAAAAAGTCTAATATTTTATAAATGTATTTAGTTAATATACAATAACAAATGAAATGTTAATTTAGATTTGAATGAACCTCCTGGGACATGTACAAATGGTTAAAGTAACTCATTCGTCATGTGTTACTTAGTAACAAAATAGTAATGGTAAGTAATCGGACACCAC